AAGATCAAGCCTCATACAAGTCGTCTTTTGCTGAACCTCAAATCATCATAAAAAGATCCTATTGGGCTTGTGTTCCCCATCCCCTCCTCTTCCCTGTTCTCCCCTCACCCTGCATTTTTCTTCACCTCCTTGCCCCTAGGATTAAAGTATAACTAAAGGCAAAACTTTTTTTTTTTTTTATTTTGGATAGAACGGAGAGGATTAGAACCCCTGTCAGGTTTCAATTACTGTCTGTGTCCCCGTTAGGGAGATTCACCCTCTCTATTTGTCCTTTTTACCATTATCATTGAAATTGAAAGTAAACGAAAACCCTACATTTTGGGTTGTCCCCATAAAAGTAATAGACGGGAAATCTTTCAATGTGGACACTAGTTATGGTGACCTGGGGGGCCCCCCAGGAGATTCTCTTAGTTTACAGGGATTTCCTCTCACTTCCAGTTTTGGCAATGGCACAGGACGTTAAGGTAAACCTCCCCACGGGGACAAAGATGGCCTCCCTTACTCTATCCAAAAGCATAAAAAAATATTTTTTCTACTTTAAGTTTTGGGTAACTCCAGAGAGGTGGGGTATGGGTGGGGGGCACAGTAAAAATGTAAGGGTGGGGAATTAAAGTGGGTGAGGTCAGTGATGATAACTCATTCATTGATTCAGAAACACACATAGATCCATAACTCCGCTCAAAACTGGCCTTTCCTGCACATGGACAACCTGGGTGACGGCCATCATGGTCCGTCTCCACTCTCCATTGAAAATAAAAAGAAATATACCTCCTTGCCCCTAGGACTAAAGTATTACTAAAGGCAAAACTTTTTTTTTTTTATTTTGGATAGAGTGGAGAGGATTAGAACCCCTGTCAGATTTCTATTACTGTCTGTGTCCCCTGTTCGGGAGATTGATACTCTCACATTTGGCGATAATGGTAACAATGACAAATAGAAAGTAAAAGCAAAATGCCAAATTCTGGTTTGTCCCCAGAACAGTAAGAGATAGGAAATCTTCCAATGGAGACACTAAATCTGGTGGCAACCAGGAATTGCCTCACTTTATAGGGATTTCCTGTTTTGGCTAAGGGACAAAAAGTGAAGGGAAATCTCCCCAATGTGAAACAAACCAAATGAATTTGAAGTGCAGACTTTCAGCTTTAATTCAAGGGGTTGAACATAAATATCAAGTGCAAATTTTAGGAACTGCAACCATTTGTATACACAGTCCCTCCATTTTCAGGGGCTCAAATGTAATTGGACAAATGAATATAATCATAGGTAAAATGTTCATTTTTAATATTTTGTTGAGAATCCTTTACTGGCAATGACTGCCTGAAGTCTGGAACCCATGGACATGACCAAAGACTGCGTTTCCTCCTTTCTGATGCTTTGCCAGGCTCTGACTGCAGCTGTCTTCAGTTGTTCTTTGTTTGTGGGTCTTTCTGCCTTTAATTTTGCCTTCAGCAAGTGAAATGCATGCTCAATTGGGTTGAGATCAGGTGATTGACTCGGCCATTGCAGAATATTGAACGTCTTTTCCTTCAAAAGCTCCTGGGTTGCTTTTGCAGTGTGTTTTGGATCATTGTCCATCTGTACTGTGATGCACCATCCAATCAGCTTTGCTGCATTTGGCTGAATCTGGGCTGACAGTTTATCTGTAAACACTGCAGAATTCATCCGGCTGCTTCTGTCTTCTGTCCCATCATCAACAAACACCAGTGACCCATTGCCACTGGAAGCCATGCATGCCCATGCCATCACCCTGCCTCCACCCATGCCATCACCCTGCCTCCACCCATGCCATCACCCTGCCTCCACCCATGCCATCACACTGCCTCCATTATGTTTTACAGATGACATTGTGTGCTTTGGATCATGAGCTGTTCCAAGCCTTCTCCACACTTTTTTCTTCCCGTAATTCTGGTACAGATTATTCATAGTTTCATTTGTTCAAAGACTGCTTTTCCAGAACTGGTCTGGCTTTTTTAGATGTTTTTTGGAAAAGTCTAATCTGGCTTTTCTATTCCTCAGGCTTATGAATGGTTTGCACCTTATGGTAAAACCCTCTGTATTTGCTCTCGTGAAGTCTTCTCTTGATTGTAGACTTTGACAACGATACGCCCACCTCCTGGAGAGTGTCCTTCACTTGTCTGGATGTTGTGAATGGGTTTTTCTTTCTCTTGTCTTCCATGGACGTCCATGCCTTTTTATGTTGCTGAGCTCACCAGTGTGTTCTTCCTTCCTCAGAATGTACCAAACTGTTGATTTGGCCACTCCTAATGTTGCTGCTATCTCACTGATGGATTTTTTTTTTTTCATTTTTGAAGCCTTAAAATTGCCTGCTTCACTTAGACAGCTCCTTTGAACACATGATGTAGGTTCACAGCAATCGATTCCAAATGCAAATACCACACTTATAATCAACTCCAGACCTTTTACCTGCTTAATTGATGGAGTAGCCCACACCTGGCCATGAAACAGCTTTTGATTTCCAAACTTTTTGTCCAAGCTTAAGAGCTGTAATTCCTAAACCCTTCCTCCAATTTGGATGTACATACCCTCAAATTAAACTCGAGAGTGTGCACTTTCGGCCCATATCCATTGTATAGCTATAGCTTGAATATGTTTAGGTAAATACCTGAACAAATCAAAAATCGGGCCCGTCTCCAAATATATATGGACCTAACTGTACAGGTCTGCCAGGATCCTGTATCCACATGCATGAAATAGATCAAACTCTATTCTATTGCATAAAACATTATCCAGGACTGTGTAGGAGCGTGCTGTGTGAGCAAATGGGGCCCCATGCCATTGACAGCAATAACGTTAAAGACATCTATGTGTTAGATTGCCTCCTGTATTGCAGAGCGCTGACAGCTGGCTTTATTATCACCCTCCTCTCATCTCTGACATGTGTCCGCAACCTGCCCGGCTCTTAATATCACACCAGACGACAAGAGTCATTTAAAAAATACACAACCGTGTCACATTACTAAGAGGAGAGGCGGAAGGGACACCCAAGGACACCATCTATAAAGAAATGCAGCAGAAACCCGATTTATGGAGAGACGTGTCTACACACAGCCTGGAAATCCATAAACAAGGATGGTCTGCTTTGTGAAATTATTATGAAGACTATGTATCAGAATGATATCACTTTCTTTCCCAACATGTCACAGTAGCCAACAGTGTAACATATTACAATATAAAAAAACAGAACCTTGTAGTCAAATGGAATATAAATAACTAAAGGAGCTGTGTTATGTGATAGTTATTCAGGCTCTGGAGCTGGGAGACAGCACGCAGGCAGGTAGTTGAAAGGGCAGCAACTGTTAGGCCTTAGGAAGCCTCTTTGCACTGAATCTCAGACAATGCAACAAAAGCTTAAAGGGGTAACTCCACTTTGTTGGAATAAATAATATAGTATAGTATATACATTTATACAATGCTACACAAGCCTCCCACTGACACCAACAGCAAGGCACCTATCCTTCAAGTAACACCAAAAACGGGGCACCATACCTTCCATTGACACCAATGACGGGGCATTATTCCTTCCAGTGACACCAACAGGGAACTATTCCTCCCACTGATACCAATGATGGGGCACTATTCCTCCCGCTGACACCAATGATGGGGACCTATTCCTCCCGCTGACACCAATGATGGGGCACTATTCCTCCCGCTGACACCAATGATGGGGCACTATTCCTCCCGCTGACACCAATGATGGGACACTATTCCTCCCGCTGACACCAATGATGGGGCACTATTCCTCCCGCTGATACCAATGATGTGGCACTATTCCTCCCGCTGATACCAATGATGGGGCACTATTCCTCCCACTGACCCCAATGATGGGGCACTATTCCTAACACTGACCCCAATGATGAGGTACTATTCCTCCCACTGACCCCAATGATGAGGTACTATTCCTCCCACTGACCCCAATGATGGGGCACTATTCCTCCCACTGACCCCAATGATGGGGCACTATTCCTCCCACTGATACCAATGATGTAGCACTATTCCTCCCACTGATACCAAAGATGGGGTACGATTCCTCCCACTGATACCAGTGATGGGGTACTATTCCTCCCACTGATACCAATGATGGGGCACTATTCCTAACACTGACCCCAATGATGAGGTACTATTCCTCCCACTGACCCCAATGATGAGGTACTATTCCTCCCACTGACACCAATGATGGGGCACTATTCCTCCCACTGACCCCAATGATGGGGCACTATTCCTCCCACTGATACCAATGATGTAGCACTATTCCTCCCACTGATGCCAATAATGGGGCACTATTCCTTCCAAAGACACCAACAATGGGGAACTTTTACTTCCAGTGACACCAACAACAGGGAACTATTCCTCCCAAGGATACCAATGATGAGGCACTTTCCTCCCACTGATGCCAATGATGGGGCGCTATTCCTTCCAAAGACACCAACAACAGGGAACTATTCCTCCCAAGGATACCAATGATGGGGCACTATTCCTCCCACTGATGCCAATGATGGGGCACTATTCCTCCCACTGATGCCAATGATGGGGCACTATTCCTCCCACTGATGCCAATAATGGGGCACTATTCCTTCCAAAGACACCAACAATGGGGAACTTTTACTTCCAGTGACACCAACAACAGGGAACTATTCCTCCCAAGGATACCAATGATGAGGCACTTTCCTCCCACTGATGCCAATGATGGGGCGCTATTCCTTCCAAAGACACCAACAACAGGGAACTATTCCTCCCAAGGATACCAATGATGGGGCACTATTCCTCCCACTGATGCCAATGATGGGGCACTATTCCTCCCACTGATGCCAATGATGGGGCACTATTCCTCCCACTGATGCCAATGATGGGGCACTATTCCTCCCACTGATGCCAATGATGGGGCACTATTCCTCCCACTGATGCCAATAATGGGGCACTATTCCTTCCAAAGACACCAACAATGGGGAACTTTTACTTCCAGTGACACCAACAACAGGGAACTATTCCTCCCAAGGATACCAATGATGAGGCACTTTCCTCCCACTGATGCCAATGATGGGGCGCTATTCCTTCCAAAGACACCAACAACAGGGAACTATTCCTCCCAAGGATACCAATGATGGGGCACTATTCCTCCCACTGATGCCAATGATGGGGCACTATTCCTCCCACTGATGCCAATGATGGGGCACTATTCCTCCCACTGATGCCAATGATGGGGCACTATTCCTCCCACTGATGCCAATGATGGGGCACTATTCCTCCCACTGATACCAATGATGGGGCACTATTCCTTCCAAAAACACAAACAATGGGGAACTATTCCTTCCAGTGACACCAACAATAGGGAACTATTCCTCCCATGGATTGGATACCAATGATGGGGCACTATTCCTTGCATGGAACCCAGTGATGGGGCACTATTCCTTCAACTGACAACTACAGGGCACTGTAACCCAGACAGATACCAATGATGGGGCACTATTCCCCCCACTAACACCAAGGGTGGGACACTTTTCCACCCAATGAAACCAACGATGTGGCACTATGCCTCCCACTGACACCAATGATAAGGTACTATATCCCCCCCCCCTTCCCGACTGATACAGTAAAGGAGCACTATTCCTTCTCCTGCTAACCACATGTACATTTTGTTACGCTCACCAACCACCAAGCCTGAGGCAATCTCTACTCCAGCTGACCGCAGACTGTCCCCCCCCCCCCCCCCCAAATTCTGAATGACATGAATGACAGTAAACTACCCTTTTGCTTAGAAAAGAACTATAAGTTATGCCTAGTAGCCTGGCTTTGGTAGCACTCCAGGGGTCCTCCAAATTAAGAATTCCACAAAAAAAAAAAAAAAAAAAAAAAAAAAAAAGAGAGCCCCCAACGACTGTGTCCAGAGTTTTAAGAACCTTTACTGTTATTATCAAACATAAGGCAGCGAACAGGTAATGAATGCATATCGGGGACATAAATCCCCCCTCATCAGATCTTGTACAATGTAACAAAACTGCATCTACTGGATTCAAAGCAAAAGCTCCTGGATATAAAATTCTGACAGGAGATATGCATCATCACATTTCATTCTTTCACCTGTCAGATTTATATCCAGGAGCTTTTGATTTGAATCCAGTAGACACAGTTTTGCTACATTATGACTCTATAACTAAGCCCCGGTGGGTGGCGTGAAACGCGTAGAGCAGTGCGCCAAGTAACTAACCTAGGTCAGAGTTTTGCTACATTGTTTAAGCCCTGATAAAAGGGGGATTTTTTTTCGGCCCCCGAAACACACTGAATGTACATCAATATACTTTTTATATATATAAAATATAAATAAATTAAAATATAAAATGCATAATAAATTGTCTTTTCACTGTCCAGCCATAGTCTAGAGCAGTGTTTCTCAAGCTTTTTTCAGTCAAGGCACCCTTTAAAATGATGGACAATCTTGAGGCACCCCAATCTAAAATGTGAAAACTATTCTAATAGTTCTATATAACGCAGCAACCTCCACACATGTAGGACACCCAACATTAGAGGGGATTTATTCTTCCAAAGCAAATATACTTTTGCACACTGGTACTGTGGATTATTCCAAGGTTTCTCTTCTCCCTCAGTTTTTCTCCATCACTGAGCTAATATGACCCCAGCACTGATGGAGAGGGGCAGGGGAGGGTCAAACCTGGATGCTGTGCAGGCAGCTGACACCCTCCTTATCAACGGATGATGTCATTGGTTGTCAGGATGCCAGCGGCTAGAAGGTCGTAATGGTGCACAATGAAAACCTGTGGCTTTGTGTAACTAATAGGCAGGCTTGTTCCACCCACTGGCTTGTATACAAGTTTTGGGCAATTTATAGACATTTTGCCAAGGCACCCCTCAAGAAACCTCAAGGCACCCCTGATTGAGAAAGGCTGGTCTAGAGGAGGGTCCTTAATGATCTGGGCTCAGAGGAAGTAGATTGAATGGTGCTTGAATTAGACTGAGGACATCTAGCGGTGGAAAAGAGGTATGGGGGTTGCAAGATGAAGATGAATGTTGCAGAAAAAGCTGCTTTATTTATTGGTTACTCTAGGTCAAAGTCTAATCGTTTTACACTTGCTTTAGAATTTTTTTTCCTTTTAAAACACATATAGTTTACGTCTCAGAGTGCCAACAGATGTACGTACCATTCCCATTTGGATCGCAATCACGTAAAGTAAAACTCTGATAACTATCGGAGTGTAAACAATTATTCCAGCACGCGCATCAACAGGAACACAGCGCCCAAGTAAGTCTTTTGCCTCCCCACCACTCAGCAGCTCAGTGAGAGAGATGCTTTCATTAAAAGCTACGAGAGCACGGGAGCAAAGCGTAGCGGCCGACTTGCCCGAACGCTGGCAGTCACTCTCATCAAAGCATTAGCAATAAAACGGTTTTAATGAGATGCATTAAATAGTCACATTCACCTCACAAGTCATTTAGAAAGGAAAAATCCTGTCCACGAGTGACCTGAGAGGACGCCGATATTGCAAGCTGCAAGTAACATCACAAATCATTAATACGATTAGACTAAATTAAACCTCTTTGAAAGTACAATCAAGTAATGGGATGGGATTCATGGCAGCATAATGACTTTTATTTAAAGGGAACGGATAATAGGAACAAAGTGGTAGCACTGAGAGCCAATCAGGTGTGCTGCATGCAAATAGGCTGACAGAAGAAGAGAGCATATGGATGATGTCCAATCCCAGGCTAGAGTTGGGGACCTAGTTGTACTGATTGAATCTGACCTCCAGCCTTCTCTTCAGTCTTACACAGTTGTACAGGCTTCTCTCATGTACTGAAATGGTTTACTCGGATTCACATCAGAGGTCCTCCCATCACATCAGAGGCCCCTTCTTCACATCAGAGGTTCTCCCATCACATCAGAGATCCTGCCTTCAAATCAGGAGCTCTTCCAACCCCCATCACCTCAGAGGTCCCCTCCATCACATCAGAGGTCCCCTCCATCACATCAGAGGTTCCTGCCTTTACATCAGAGGTCCTGCCTTTACATCAGAGGTCCCCTCATCACATCAGAGGTCCTGCCTTTACATCAGAGGTCCCCTCATCACATCAGAGGTCCTGCCTTTACATCAGAGGTCCCCTCATCACATCAGAGGTCCTGCCTTTACATCAGAGGTTCTCCCATCACATCAGAGATCCTCCCTTCAAATCAGGAGGCCCCCCCCCCCATCACCTCAGAGGTTCCCTCCGTCACGTCAGAGGTTTCCCTCCGTCACGTCAGTGGTCCGCCCCTTCCCGTCAGTGGTCCGCCCCTTCCCGTCAGTGGTCCGCCCCTTCCCGTCAGTGGTCCGCCCCTTCCCGTCAGTGGTCCGCCCCTTCCCGTCAGTGGTCCGCCCCTTCCCGTCAGAGGTCCGCCCCTTCCCGTCAGAGGTCTCCCCTTCCCGTCAGAGGTCTCCCCTTTCATCACAGATCCCCTATTCCCATCAGAAGTCCCCCATTCACATTAGAGGTCTCCCTTTCACATTAGAGGTCTCCCTTTCACATCAGAGGTCTCCCTTTCACATCAGAGGTCTCCCTTTCACATCAGAGGTCCCCCATCACTTCATAGGTTCCCCTACACATCAAAATCCCCTCTATGCATCAAAGGCCTCCCACTACAGAGTCCCTACCCAACCCCCCAAGATCACAGAGCCTTCTCACCTATCTCTGTTTAAGGGCAAACTGGGTCCCATGCTTGTGGTATCTGACCTAGTCCTTTCCTCCCCCAGCCTGACTGTGCCTGTCCAGCACCCTTTCATTAATTGGATTTCAGTTCTTTGAATTATGGTGACTAGGCATCACATGGAAATACAGCCTGCCTAGGAATGTTCACTTCTCCAGACTAACACCCAACGTTCAAGGCATTTTGATATTTGTCTAACTCCACCCAAGAGCCAGCCCACTGCTTGCACCAGAACTTAGGGTTTTTGAGAGGAGTACTGCCACAGGGTGCTGTGATGCGCTCTGGAAGCTTCTGTACAGCACCCTTCTGTCCCTCCCACCAACCATGATCTCCCTGCACTGCATAGAAAAGCACAGAAACCTACATAATAAAGTATGTAATGGTAACGGAAAGGTTGTATTAAAAAATGTAATTTGCATATTACTGGGAGGGGGGAGAGGAGTGGGGGGGGGGAATCAAGGAAGACACATATAAACAGAAATAATCTTCAGCTTTAAATGCAATTGGGAAAGGTCAGGTCACAAAGCTGAATATATAAAAAAAAAATCCACATACAAAAGTGTTCAAAATAAAACATTAATTAATGTCCCCAATGTTCTAAACACCATCCGTGAAACATCTTTTTCTTCTTCTCAATTCAGGAAGTCTCCAGTAATCACATACCTCAAAAAAACAAAAACTCAAAATAGTGTCATATCCTTTATACAATTAAAGTATATACCACACACTGTGCAAAAAAGAAAAAAAAAAAAAAAAAAGTTTTTTTGCAAAAGTATAGATATAGATGCATTCAGCTACACACGCACATATATTCCATAACCTTAAATATATAATCAAACTTTTCAGTGTGAAACACTCCAAAATGTGTGCACTCCAACAAATCAGTGAAGCATTCCTGTGTATATCACCCCACTCTATTCAACTGTGCTCAAAAACCACTCCAACTCGTGCAGCAATGAATAATTACCCTCTGGGTATATCAGAAAGGCATATCGCAAGACTGGGATAATCTCTTTCTTCAGGATCTACCCATCTTTTCCTCCAATTTCCTCATGGACAAATCAGTAGTTAGAGAAGGTAAATTCAATGTAGTACAAATTTATTCAGCAACTTACATCAAAGATTACGAAAAGCAGCTCCTCACATAAGAGACAGGGTCTATGGACAAAGCTAAGGGAACAGTAACCGCATGTTCCCTCTTCCAAAATGGCCGCGATCGCGCTTCGGTTTCCGGTTTGACGTCGATGCGTCAGACGTCACGTGTGGCTGACGCGTTTCGTCACTTCTTTTGACTTTTCCTGTGTAGCTGAACACATCTATACTTTTGCAAAAAAAAAATTCTTTTTTTTTTTTTTTGCACAGTGTGGGGTATATACTTTAATTGTATAAAGGATATGACACTATTTTGAGTTTTTGTTTTTTTGAGGTATGTGATTACTGGAGACTTCCTGAATTGAGAAGAAGAAAAAGATGTTTCACGGATGGTGTTTAGAACATTGGGGACATTAATTAATGTTTTATTTTGGACACTTTTGTATGTGGATTATATTTGTAAAAAGAAAAGTTTTTTTTTTTTATATACCGTATTTTCCGGCGTATAAGACGACTTTTTAACCCCTGGAAATCTTCTACAAAGTCGGGGGTCGTCTTATACGCCGGGTGTTGTGCTGAAACCTTACCTGTACTTCCGAGCTGACGCTTCTGCGCATGTCTTCGGCAGCAGTAGACGATCGCTGATCACCATTCCTCGCAGAACTGCATGAGACGTCGGATGCAGCCGTTCAGTGCTCGATTGAGCTTGACTGAAACTGTGACATGTGCAGAAGCGTCTTCTTGCCGCTACCCGATGTGTATCCCTTCTCTGCATATCACAGTTTCAGTCAAGCTCAATCGAGCACTGAACGGCTGCATCCGACGTCTCATGCAGTTCTGTGAGGAATGGTGATCAGCGATCGTCTACTGCTGCCGAAGACATGTGCAGAAGCGTCAGCTAGGCAGTACCTTGCAGGAAAT